GTCTTTATTTTGAGACAGAGGTGGGAGAGCGCAAAGCATGCAAGTTGGGGAGGGGCAGAGAGAGGGAGAGAGAAAAATCCAAAGGAGGCTCCACACTATCAGCACAAAGATTAATGAACCATGAAATCATGACCTGAGTCAAAATCAAGAGTCAGATCCTTAACCAGTTGAGCCAACCAGGCACCCCCAGATTAATGTTATCTTAACTTCAATGGTATACCACTTTTCTCTGACATTTCTATCCTTCCCATTGTACAATTATTGCCACACAATTTGCATCTTTAATTTAACATTTCTTGCAGGGCAAATTTGCTAGTGATGTATTCTGTTTTTGCTTATCAGAGAGTGTCAGAATTTCTCCTTCATTTTTAAAAGTAACCTTACTTTGAGATAGTTGTAGACTGATACACAGTTGTAAGATATAATACAGAGATCCCGTGACATTTTACTCGGTTTCCTGAAGTATAATATCTTGCAAAACTGGAGCATGACATCACAAGACTGTTGACAGTCAAAATGCAAAATTTGCATCATGACAAGGATCAGCCCTTAATGGCCACACACACTTCACTCTCCTCTGCACTTCCTCCTTAATCTTCGGCAACCACGACTCTGTTCACTTGAATACTTTTGTTATTTCATGAATTTTATATAAATGTAATCATACAGTATGTAATCTTTTGAGATTGGCTTTTTAAACTCAATGTAATTCAATGGAGATACATCCAGATTGTTATGTGTGTATCAAAAGCTCATATCTTTAATTGCTGTTTAGTATTTCATAGTATGTATAAACTACAGTTTCCTTACTCGCCTGTTGAAGAACATCCGGGTTGTTTTCATCTCTTTGTCTATTATGAGTAGAGCTGCTATATGCATTTGTGTATACATTTGTGGGTGAACACAGCCTTCATTTCTCTGGGATAAATACCCAGGAGTGAATTGCTGTTTATGACAGTGGGCATCGGGGGGAGAGAGGGATCCTTAGTTTATATTATCTATGTTTAAAATAAGACTTTATTTAGGGGCACCTGGGTGGCTCAGTCGATTAGGCGTCCAACTTCGGCTCAGGTCGTGATCTCAAGGTTTGTGGATTTGAGCCCCCTGTCAGGCTCTGTGCTGGCAGCTCAGTCTGGAGCCTGCCTCAGATTCTGTCTCCTTCTCTCTGCCCCTCCCCCACTCACACTTTGTCTCTCTCTTTCTCTCTCTCAAAGATAAATAAACATTAAAAAATTTTAAAGTAAGACTTTATTTACTGTACCTAAAAAGCTATCACCTTAGCCAAGGTCATCTAGGTTTTTTCATATGCTATCTTTTTTTTAATGTTTATTTATTTTTGAGAGAGAGAGACAGACACAGACAGAGACAGAGCATGGGCAGGGTCAGAGAGAGAGGGAGACAGAATCTGAAGCAGGCTCCAGGTTCTGAGTTGTCAGCACAGAGTCCGAGGCTGGGCTTGAGCTCATGAACCATAAGATCATGACCTGAGCCAAAGTCAGATACCTAACCAACTGAGCCACTAAGGTGCCCCATTTCTCATATGTTATCTTCCATGAGTTTTATACTTTTCTGTTTTACTGTTTTTTTGTTTGTTTGTTTGTTTGTTTGTTTTTTTGCATGTGGATGTTCAGATGTTCCAGCACCCTTTGTTGAAGAGACTGTCTTGGCTCCATCTTATTGTTTTTGCTTCTTTGTCAAATATCAGTTGACTATATTTATAGGGATCTATTTCTGGGCTCTTTATTCTGTCCCATCAATCTATCTAGCCATGACTATGCCAATACCACACTGTCTTGATTATTGCAGCTTTATAGTAATTCTCGAAATTGGATAGTGTCGGTCCTCCAATATTGTTCTTCTCTTCCAATATTGTTTTGGAGGTATTCTGGGCCTTTTGCCTCTTCAAACTTTCAAACCAGTTTGCTGACATCCACAAAATAACTTGCTAGGATTTTGATTGGGACTACATTGAATCTATATATCAAGTTGAGAAGAACTGACATCATGATAATACTGAATCTTCCTAACCATAAATCTCTCCATTTATTTAGTTCTTTTCTGATTTCATTCATCAGTTTTATAGTTTTCCTCATCTAGATCTTGTACATACTTGGTTAGTTTATACCTAAGTATTTCTTTTGAGGGCACACTAATGTAAATAGTTTTGTGTTTTAAATTTCAAATTCCATTGCTCATTGCTGGTATATAAGAAATCAACTGACTTTTGTGTATTAATCTCATATCGTGCAATCTTGCTATAATCACTTATTAGTTCCAGGAGGCGTTTTGGTTGATTTTTTTTTCTACATAGATGATCATGTCATCCTTGAACAAAGACATATTTATTTATTCCTTCCCATTCTGTCTACTGTTTATTTTCTTCTCTTGTCTTATTGCATTAGCTAGAACCTCCTGTACAATGTTGAAAAGGAGTGATGAGAGGGGACATCTTTGCTTTGTACCTAATCTTAGTGGGAAATCTTCAAGTTTCTCACCATTAAGTATAAACTGTCATCTGTAGGGATTTTGTAGATAGTCTTTATTAAGTTCATGACGTCCTCCTCTATGTGTAGTTTACTGAGAGATTTATTGCAGGGGTGTTGGATTTATGAAATGCTTTTTCTGCATCTGCTGATACAATCATGTGATTTTTCTTTTCTAGCCTATTGATGTGACTTCAAAAATTTTTTAATGTTTATTTATTTTTGAGAGAGAGAGATAGAGGGCATGTAGGGGAACAGAGAGAGAGGGAAAGACAGAGAGAGAAAACGAATCAAGACCAGGCCCTAGGCTCTAAGCTGTTAGTACAGAGCCTTGCACAGAGATTGAACCCCTGAACCATGAGATCATGACCTGAGCCAAAGTCAGACACTTAACCGACCGAGCCACCCAGGCGCCCCACATTAATTTGACTTTTGAATGCTGAGTCAGGTTTGTCTAGTTGGGATAAATCCCATTTGGTTGTGGGCTATAATTCTTTTATACATTGTTGGATTTGATTTGGTAATATTTGTTGAGAAATCTTACATCAATCTTCATGAAAGATATTGTTCTGTAGTTTTCTTTTCTTCTTCTGTCTTTGTGTAGATTTGGAATAAGGGTAATTCTGGCCTCTAACAATGAGTTAGGCAGTATTCCTTCTGCTCTTATCCTCTGAAATAGACTGTAGAAAATTAGCATAATTTCTTCCTTAAATATTTGGTAGAAATCATCAGTGAACCCACTTGGGCTTGGTTCTTTCTGTTTTGGAAGGTTAATTATGGATTCAATTTTTTTAAATAGATATAGTCCTATACAGATTGTATATTTCTTTGTGTGATTTTTGGTAAATTATATCTTTCGAGAAATTGGTCTATTTCATCGAGGTTATAAATATTTGGGCATAAAGGCGTTCCTAGTTTCTTTATTATCTTTTTAATTTTTTTTTTTAATGTTTTATTTCTAGGAGAGAGAGAGAGAGACAGCGTGAGCAGGGGAGGGTCAGAGAGAGGGAGTCACAGACTCTGAAACAGGCTCCAGGCTCTGAGCCGGCAGTCAGCACAGAGCCCGACGCGGGGCTCGAACCCACGAACCGTGAGATCATGACCTAAGCTGCAGTCGGACGCCCAACCGACTGAGCCACCCAGGCGCCCCAATCTTTATTATCTTTTAAAGTTCACAGGATCTGCAGTAATATCCTCTTCCATTTCTGATATTAGTAATTTTTGTCCTTTTTTCCCCTTAGTTACACTGGCTAGGGGTTTACTGATTTTTGATATTTTCAAAGAAACAGCTTTTAGTTTCATTATTTTTTTTTATTATATCCTGTTTTCAATTTCATTGATTTCTGTTGTAAATTTTTATTCTTTTTCTTCTGCTTACTTTGGATTTAATTTGCTCTTTTTTTCTAGTTTCCTAAGCTGGAATATTTTAGGTATAAAATTTTTAATTTTAGATTTTTTTCTTTTCTTATATATACATCCAATGCTATAAATTTCTTCTATGCATTGATGTTGCTGCATCACACATATTTTGAAAATTTGTGTTTTTATTTTCATTTAGTTCAAAATATTTTCAAATCTCTCTTGAGATTTTTTTCTCATTGAGTCATGTGTTATTTAGATGTGTATTGTTTGGGTGCCTGGATGGCTCAGTCAGTTGAGCATCCAGCTTCGGCTCAGGTCATGATCTCATTGCTCGTGGGATTGACTCCCACATCAGACTCCATGCTGCCTGCTTGGGATTCTCCCTCTCCCTCTCTTTCTACCCCTTCCCCATGCTGTCTCTCTGTCTCTCACTCTCAAAATAAAGAAACTTTAAAAAATTAAAATGTTTAATTTGAAACTATGAGGTTACTATGCAAGTTTAATATTAAACTAGAAATGTACCTAAAGATTTGCATAATAACAAATAGGTAGAAAATTAACTCACTGGAGAAAATACCCAATAAATTTGAATTAGGTAATTATTTCAAAAAATTACTGAAAACATAGATAATCAATTATAATAAAGTCCTTTCAAATGATCACTGTGAATGTGTGAATAGTTTCTCAGCTGTTTTAAGGTATCTTCTAAAGAATCTAGAAGTTTACAAAGATACATTAAAAATTTTCTTAATGTTGATTTATTTTTAAGAGAGAGAGAGGAAAGGGAAGAGAGAGAGAGGGAGACAGAAGCTGAAGCCAGCTCCAGGTTCCAAGCTGTCAGCACAGAGCCCGATGCGGGGCTTGAACTCACAAACTTTGAGATGATGACCTGAGCAGAAGTCAGACACTTAACCAACTGAGCCATCCAGGCACCACATACAAATACATTTTAAGGATAGCAGCAACAAAATTTCTGAAGCTTTAATGACTATGAATAGAGAATAGATTCTTAAAAAGAACACTTTATTATTTTTAAAGTTTTTTTTAAATTTATTTCTGAGAGAGAGAGAGACAGCATGAGTAGGGAGGGTCAGAGAGAGAGGGAGATACAGAATCTGAAACAGGCTCCAGGCTCTGAGCTAGCTGTCAACACAGAGCCTGACGTGGGGCTCGAACCCACAAATGATGAGATCATGACCTGAGCAGAAGTCAGACACTTAACCAACTGAGCCAGCCAGGCACTCCTAAAAAGAACACTTTAAAATCATTTATTTAGAACTTTTTTCCTTTCATTTATATACACATACTAACCAAACTGGGAGATACAAAAGAAAGCTTTTTTTTTTTTTAAACAGCCCCTCTGGAAAACAGTGTGGAGGTTCCTCAGGAAACTAACAATAGAACTCCCCTATGACCCAGCAATAGCACTGCTAGGAATTTACCCAAGGGATACAGAAATGCTGAGGCATAGGAGCACATGTACCCCAATGGTCATAGCAGCACTCTCCACAATAGTTAACAATCCCCTATTGAATCATTACCCTTGTTGATCTTTGGATATAACCTGAGATTCTTAGTTTATTCTTTATCCTTCATCCGGCTTTAGAGATATTGCTATGTCAGTGCCCTAATAACCTCACAATATGTCTAATTCTTAGAATGAAGTGTTGTCTTAACTAAGGAGAAATTGTATGCTTTGGATTGATAAAATGTTCTCTTCTAATAGGTGCCAAATAGGATGCAAGTGCTTGTTATAATATTACCCCTCCCCCTTTTTTCAGATTCTCTTCCTTGTCATTGATTTGCTCTTCTAATACTGTTTCCACTGAAATAAAAGCTTCAAGCCATATACATGTAGGTCCATCATCAAGCCACATGCCACATGCATAAAATGTGAAAACATTCCTACTACCTTTTCTACTGAAGTAGCAGAGTTATACCACCTAAAACAAATATAGTATTTTTATGGAGTAATGTGATTTTTACTGATGTAGTCATTTAAGGAACACTAGTATGCAAACTCTAATTTAGTATAAATAGTGTCAAAAAAGAGAGAAGGGTTAGAAATAGGCATAAGTGAGAGAAATAAAACAAAAAAAAATAAATCTACAGAACATTTAAAAAGACTAACTTTATTCATTGAATATTTTGAAGATAAAAGGAAAAGGGGAGATGTTAAAAATAACAAATCAGAGGAAAAAATGTAGTTTGTTTACTCTGGATGGTAATAAAAATATAAAAAATTTATCTTTCACAAGCTATTAAGTTATATATGATATATCTAGGTTAAAAATATTAACATCTTGAGAGCAAATCTCATTTTCATCAATAAGATTTTCAACAAGTTATAAAAGCCACCTTCAGTAAAGCTAGAAACATCAGAACTAATCCTTCATTTGTGCACAGTACATTTGCATGTACAATCATTTCAGACTTCAGATTTCCAAATATCTTCAGTATTTAAAAAGAATCACTATATTGGGGCTCCTGGGTGCTTCAGTCAGTTAAGCATCTGACTTCAGCTCAGGTCATGATCTCATAGTTCATGGGTTCAATCCCCATATCCAGCTCTGTGCTGATGGTGCAGAACCTGCTTGGGATTCTCTCTCTCTCTCTGTCTCTCTGTCTCTGTCCTTCTCTCTCCTTCGACACTTGTGCTCTCTCAAAATAAATGAATGAACTTAAGAAAATCACTATATAGGGGCCTCTGCGTGGCTCAGTCAGTTAAACATCTGACTTCAGTTCAGGTCATGATCTCACAGTTTGTGGGTTCAAGCCCTGCGTCAAGTTCTATGCTGACAGCTCAGAGCCTGGAGCCTGCTTCAGATTCTGTGTCTCCCTCTCTCTCTCCCCCACACCTCTCTCAAAAATAAATAAACAAAAAAAAAAGGAAGAAAATTATTATATTAAAATAACTAAAAAATATCTAGTGTGCTACTATTAGGTAAGACTGAACAAGAGAGTAAAAAGCAATCTCTCAGTAACACGGGTGATAGTTATGTTTAGTTAACATGTATGATAAGTGATATAATTTCCTAATTCACTAATACAAGAGTGTAACATGGATGGATATGATATGAACATAATCAAAAAAGAGGAAGCCATATTTGAAAGTTAATTCCCATGGTCCTAACCCAAATAAGGTTATGCTTACTGCCCTGTTTAAGTTTCTTATCAGGCTAAAATGAGCAAATCAGAGAACTCTAGATGCTGGCGAGGATGTGGAGAAACGGGCACCCTCCTACACTGTTGGTGGGAATGTAAACTGGTACAGCCCCTCTGGAAAACAGTGTGGAGGTTCCTCAGGAAACTAACAATAGAACTCCCCTAGGACCCAGCAATAGCACTGCTAGGAATTTACCCAAGGGATACAGAAATGCTGAGGCATAGGAGCACATGTACCCCAATGTTCATAGCAGCACTCTCCACAATAGCTAAAACATGGAAAGAGCCTAAGTGTCCATCNATACCATGGAATACTACATGGCAATGAGAAACAATGAAATCTGGCCATGTGTAGCAACATGGATGGACCTTGAGGGTGTTACGCTGAGCGAAATAAGTCAGGCAGAGAAGGACACATATCATATGTTTGCACGTATAGGAGGATTAGGAGGAACTTGACGGAGGAACAAGGGGGAGAAGAAGGGGGGAAATGGTGGGGGAAAGGGAGAGAGGCAAACCATGAGAGACTCTTGAATGCTGACAAAAACTGAGGACTGATGGATGTGGGGGGGAGGGGGGGATGGGCATGGAGGAGGGCACTTGTGGGGATGAGCACTGAGTGTTATGTGGAAACTAATTTGACAATAAACTATTTGTAAAAAAAAAAAAAGAAAAGAAATTTAAAATGTAAATCAAATGCTCTCTAAATTAGATTTCTTGGTTGAAAAAAAAAGTTTCTTATCAGGCAAGACAATGGAACAAAACCTGTTGCAACGTCTTTATTACATTTTCAATTGGGAAGAGTAAATTTTCAAAAATAAAATATATAACCCTGCCAGAACTTTTCAGTGTTCCCATACTGCCAATTTTACCTTCCTTGGAAGAAAGACAAGTTCTATTTTTTTCCCACAGAGAAGTATTAATTGTAAGGCATAATTCAGCAGCCCACCAAGGAATAGTACTTAACTATGCTCTTCCTGTGAGCATTCAATTAACTATATGCTTATAAATGGCATTTCCTCTGAATGTGTATTGAAACTCACCTTATAAAATCCACAGCAGCAGAACATTTCTTGTTGCTAAGGGACTATGATACTATTTCATAATGCTAAAACAGGAATATTATAGTTTAATTGTTCATATGCCCAGCCATCATCAGACAACTTAAACACTACACTGGATAAATGTTCTAGCCTCTAATCATGTTATTTAATGTTGGAATAATGAGTGATCTTGTACTTTTTAATAACTAAAGACTTTTAAAGTAATATAAATAATAATAATAATAATATAGCATTATTATCATTATGACTTGTTGCATGAACTCATGCATCATGCTAGGCACTATTCTAAATGGTTTATCGGAATTAACTTATTTAATCCTTATTACAACCCTATTGCTTAGGTATTATTATTTCCCTAGTTTTGCACAAAAGTAACAGAAAAGTAACTTGCTCTAGGTCATGGAGCTAATAAAGAGGCAGAGAGGTAGAATTTGATATTCAACTGGTCTCACTGCAAAGTTCACATTCCATACTACACTAAGAAAACATTTTTAAAAATCTTACTACATTTAGTTATTTGGGATTTAATATTTTTAAGGTAATGTTATTTATAGTTCTTTAAGAACATACCTAGTCTTATTCATAGAGCATATTTGCTGAAACTACTTCTATCCTTTGATGAAACTGTATTTATAACCAAATTGTTTACATTACTATTGTAACTTTGAATCTGCTTGGTTTAGGAATGTACACTAGCAGTTTACATTGAGTTGGAAATCTGATCTGTATTTTACAAGACTAATCTTTGGGTCATGTCTTTGTCTCCAATGTATATTTAATCCTGATTAGGCTTAAGTGAGCAGATTAAAAAACACACAAAGAGATAAGACAGAATTACTTTAACAATGCAAGTTTTTAAAGTATAATTTCACTGCAATGTGGAAGTATAATGTGTCTAATTTTTCTATTCTGCCTTACTAAATGGTTCTTTAGTCTTGGCTTTGATACTTATGGTTTAATGCCAAATTTACTAAAGTACTATATCTAGGAATAGTTTATCTTTAGTAGTATATCATATTTTATATTTGTTTTTATTAAAAAAGAGAATGGGCCTTATTAATTATACTTATCTGTAGCATAGCAATATTTATGTTATGATTAAGATATATGAAATATTATTATGCATAAGCACCTCCATATGAAATTTCAAGAACAAATGTATAAAAACTTACCCTTGATTCAGCCATGTTTCCAGGGTCACTTTTTCTGGCACCAATTAAAGGGCATGGGAATAGGGACTGGTTGATACAATTCTTACAATATAAGTAGTTGCTTAAAGAACATTCTTTCATATTCTGGATGGCATTTATTTATTAAAAAAATTTTTTTTTGTAGTTTATTCATTTTTGAGACAGAGGCAGAGCACGAGTTGGGGGAGAGGCAGAGAGAGGGAGACAGAACCTGAAACAGGCTACAGGCTCTGAGCTGTCAGCATAGAGCCTGATGCAGGGCTTGAACCTACGAACCATGATATCATGACCTGAGCCAAAGTCGTACGCTTAACCAACTGAGCCACCCAGGCGCCCCTCCAGATGGCATTTAAAGGTAAACCTGTCTTCATGCCTACAAAAAGTTAAAAAAAAAGAGGCCTTTCAAAAACACTGAACCACCAGATTCAACATCTCAATTTCACATATAAAGGTCTAATAGAAGGTAGAGTGGATGTAAAGACTGGATAAAGTAGTTGAAAACCATTAGTTTAACGTATTTAAAGGAACAAGTAAAATCTCAACATTCACAGTCTTTAGTTAAATGTAGAACAGTACAAAAATAAGCTTTAAAAAAGTGCTAGCTTACATTTACTATTGCCTATTATATAAATTCATTAATTAAATGTATTCTCATAGCAACTCTATGAGGTATTATTGTCCCCATTTTATGCATAAGAAAATTGAGTTTCAGAGAACATAAGTAAAAGTTAGAAAGCAGTAGGCTCGGTTTTAAAATGTTAAAATGTTCAAACCCCACGCTCATGTTTCAGTTCCTTAGGCTTAGTGCCTTCCTAAGAATC